GCCAGGTAAACTAAGCTCAGCGGAACTTGTGGAGGTGTGTGCACAGGGGCCTGCCTTGATTAAACAGTGTCAACACTGCAAGCTCTCCACTCTTTAGGGCTTTGGAATTTAAATATTTGTACATATGGCTCTGGATAAGTTTTTCTACTAGGAGAATGAACCTGGGAGAACCCTTCCAGATTATTTGCACAGCCAAAGTGGCTTAAAATTTAGTTTTAGAAAATAGCCCTCCAAGGCGCAATAGTATTTTGTGTATACTGCTAAATGCAGACCTGATGTATAATAATGAAAAATCTACTTTTTCAGTCCTTCACAGTATATATAGAGATTGTCTTGTGGCAAAATTGGTGATTTTAAGTAAATTTTGTCTTGCATTCAAGAGGTGCACAAATTGTATTGTTATTATAGAATTAGGGATAAATATAATTTTCTTGAAGCATTCCAGCAAATGTAACTGGGTTTTTATTAGTGCTTGTTTAAAGGTATACTGGCCCTTTTAAGGTTTTAGACACGAAGGATCTTCTTTGTATCAGTAATACTTGGTTGCAGGAACAATACTTCTAGAATAGAAATATGGTCACTGAAACAAGGTGGTGATTTCAGGAAAGTGGTTTGGGGAAAAGAACCCATGCTCCTAATTACTTTTATATCCCTCTTGATAAATTTAATTCCTGCCTTGGAAAATTGAACAAATGTTCTTTTGAATCCCACTCCGTATAAGTTTTGTTAAAGGCCTAATAGAGTTAGAGTATTGTTGTAGCTGTGATGGTCTAGGGCTGGGATGTCAAACTCATCTAGCCCACAGGTTGGAGCAGACCCACGGACTCCCTCCCCTTCTTGCTCTCCTTCTCTCCTAGGTATCTGGTGGTTGCTTCAGCCAGTCTGGGACCTGTGTTGCGTGTGGTGCAGATCCTGGAGTGGCTGAAATGGGCTCCGTGTGTGGCACAGTCTGACCATAGCTGCAGCCATGCTGCATGTAGTGTCCTCCCTGGCTGGACTGCACTGCATGCCAGCAGCTCTGGGGTTGCGCCACATGTGGTATGTTCCAGCAAGTCCAGGACCCACATTGCATGCAGCTTTGTGTTTTAGACCAGCTGGAGCATACATCATGGGCAGCACATGTCCCATAATGGGTGCCATGTGTGGCACAATCTGGCCGGGGGCCATGGAGTGAAGCATGGCTGCACCTCAGGCTGGACTGTGCTACATGCAGTGCCTGTTTTAGCTGGTCAGGATCAGCACAGCACTGGTCCCAGGCTCCTTGGAACAGCCACTGAGTATGCTTGGGGAAAAGGAGAGGGGAGGAGAAGAGGAAGGGTTCTGTGGGCCAGCTCCTGCCCACAGACTGGCCCAGTGCTGTGGGTGTGCACTGTGCTCTCTGTGAATCTAACCAGGCCCAGGGGCAGCACTGGGGGCCTGATGAAGAGGCTCCAGCAGCCAAATATGGCCTGTGGGCTGCATGTTGGGCACTCCTGGTCTAGGAAATGTTCAAGGCAAAGGTTTTTGTTGTTTTTTTTTTTTTTTTGTAGTATCTGTATAGTTGCGAGAACGTTTGGGCTTCAGGTGTCCTGGAAAGTTTGTCCAACAGTTCTCGCACCTTCACTGTTAGTCCAGTCACATAAAATCCTTAATTCTAGTTAAAGGATTACTAATTTCCCTCAAATTTACATAAATTATCATATTTTATATTAAAGTACTTTAAAAATGGATTTTCAAGGAAAAATCAAATTCTGTTGTATAGATGCAGCTCACATACCTTATGGACTAAGTTAAGCCAAATATTTTTTTCTACCAGCATTTTAACTTGCTGGGGAATGCAAGTCCGTTTTGAATGTGGTACCAAATAGTTAGACCTATATTACATATCTATTTCTGTACTGAACTCTTGATGGACACTGAAGGCTAATACAGGTTTATGTAGTTACAGCCCACAGTAGAAGTAGAAAATGTTACGGAAACTGCAGCTGCGGTGCCCAAAGACTATCTTTAATTATAGTTACCTAGGTTCATTTAATATTTCCCAAAATAACCTGTTCATTTTGTAACTCCTGCAGAGATAATCACTTAGAACTTTCAATGGCAATATTTTTCTGTTAACAATAGAGCTATCAGTACCTTATTTGTATAGGGAAAGACATTTTGTTTCCTTTTTTTTTTTTTTTCCAGTGGCAGAAACATGCTGGTGTTACAA